CTACAGAGCGGGATGAAGCAAGCAGGGCGGAGACTGATAAAGGTTACCCAATGAGGATGCTAAAAACAACTTTTTTGACCAATTGTATTGTAACGCTCTGGGAGATAAAATATAAATATATATGATATATAAATATAATATATATAAAATATATACATAGACTAGATAAATAGATAAATAGAATCTATAAAATATCTAAAATATCTAAACATAATATTTATAAAATATCTCAATATAATATTTATAAAATATCTGAATATCTAAACATAATATTTATAAAATATCTCAATATAATATTTATAAAATATCTCAATATAATATTTATAAAATATCTGAATATAATCTATAGATGGATATAGTATCTATAATAGATAAATATAATATCTAAAATATCTAAACATAAGAATTATAAAATCTAAATATAATATTTATAAAATATCTAAATATAATCTATAAATAGAATATCTATAGTAGAGAAATATAATACCTAAAATATCTAAAATCTAAAATATCTAAAATATCTAAAATGTCTAAAGATAATATTTATAAAATATCTAAATATATTTATAAAATATCTAAATATACTTATAAAATATCTAAATATAATCTATAAATAGAATATCTATAGTAGAGAAATATAATATCTAAAATATCTAAAATGTCTAAAGATAATATTTATGAAATATCTAAATATAATCTATAAATAGATATAATAGCTATAATAGATAAATATAATATCTAAAATGTCTAAAACGTCTAAAATAAATATCTACAATGTCTAAAATAAATATCTACAATGTCTAAAATAAATATCTAAAATGTCTAAAATGTCTAAAATATCTAAATATAATATTAAAAATATATTAATATACTATAAAATGGATAAATATTATATAGAATATATAAAATATATAGAATATAAATAATATATAGACATGTATAAATATATATATAAATATTGAGATATATATATTTATATATTGAAAAATGCATTCTTTAGGTAATAAAAAACCAGCCAATTGTTCACCCATGCGAGTGTGCGTTTTTTTTGTCGCTTTGTCCGTCTCTACGGCGCCATACAAACCCCCCAGAAACCGCGATTCAAACTGGGGACCAAACCACCTCCCGTGACTTGTGTGAGGACAATGGCGAAGGCGATTCCCTCCATAATTATACAAAGAAAACCAACAAATGATACAAAGAAAAAAAAAAAAACAAAAAAAAAACAACCCGCCACGCCCTCAGAATCAGATGGAGGGATGCAGGGAAGCCTCCGCCAAGGACCGGGAGCTTTGCGGGAGATGCGCGGGGCTCAGAGACGGTCAACGCGATCCTGTCCTGTGCGTGGGTCCAGGCCTCCACTGCGCGTGAGCGTCCTTCCCATCAGGCCACGCTCGGGTCTCTATCGCCAAACGCTTTCCTCCCTACTTTGTTCTCCAATCAAGGTGTAATTAAAGTAACCAAGGACAGATTTTTTGGGGAACGAAAGTATCGTGAAAAGGAGGCTCTGTTGGAGACCTCTTGTCCTTCTGAGCCTCCTGCCCGGATACTCGCCGTCTGCCGTGGGGTTTTAAATTCCTTCTGTCGGGGTTAAAAGTCTCTTGGAGCAAAGAAAGGACCGACTTGAAAGATTGCAACGCTCTTTTTAGTGCTTCTTTGCTGTTTTACTCAGAAATGTGTTCCCGTTTGATGCTCCGGCCACGTCCCGCTGCCTGCGTTTGCCCACTCCCACCCTTCCAACCAGACGTATCCAGTGGGAATTTGCTTCAAAGTCTCCCATCGCTGTCTCCCACCTCTAAATCCCAACCCCAAACCTCGGTGACGGCTTTAGAGCCCGGAGGCGACTCGATTCCTTTTGTAACCCATCGGGGCCAAGCCCCATCGCCCCAGCAGAGGCGGACGGCCCGATGCTGGGCCCAGCGTAGGATGCTCACGCTCCTTGTTTTCAGGGCACCCCCCACATAGAGCAGCCCCGGGCTCTGTGCTCACCTTCTGCCACCCCATCACGTGCTCATACCTGCATCCTTAATTCCCTTTGCCTCCTTCACCCGCTCACAACCTAGATTTTTTTTTCCCAAGCTGCCCAAACACACTCGATTTTCCTACACGCCACCATGGCCTTATTTATTCTCTTTCAAGCCCCTTTTATTTTCCTGATCCCTTTGCACCCCAGCCCACCTCACCGTGCCACCTTCCCATCCTCTAACATTTTTGCATTACCATCTTGGGCTCACGGCTGCTTTGCATCAGGCATAAGGAGCAGGAAAAGGCGTTAGTCAACGGCAGCAAGACCATCCAGAAACCGCCCCATCCCTGCCCGTGAACCACGCCAGGCGTGGTGGGCAATTAACATTTTTATGGAGTAACAAGAGGAATGGCGATCCCAAAGGCAGGATATTGATCTGCTCATAATACCGTGAGTCAAAACAACAGGGTAAAAACTCTCCAATTAGCAAAGCATTCAGGGTGGTGAGCAATCAAGTCCCTCCAGTGGGAGCTCATCGTGTTTCCGGTGGAAAAAACACCGGGTACCCTATAAAAGATCTCACACCATACTTCTTCGCATCGTCCCAGCTTCACGCCTCCTCTTGAATTCCTGCTGAACAGGGTTAAGTCCGACTTGATCAAACTTTTGCACTTCTAAGGATCAGCAGCTTCGTCCTGATCCTGAAGTCTTGACCGCTTCTCTTGCACATCTTGTGTCTCTGACCGTCTCTGCTCACCGTTGCTCGGTCCTGCTGTTGAGGTCGACTTCTCCATCCGTGTCTATACATAAATAACAGAAAGCAACTAGGAAAACTGGTTAAAACTTACCGGTTCAGATGGCTGAGGACAGGACTCTTCATGTCTAGCTCCGGACTATGTCTGCCCACCTCTTCTCACTAATCACAAAGTGCTTTAACTTCTATCTTATGTATTTGCTAAACATAGAAGAGAAAGGAAGACAGCACAGAGTTCTCTGTACAGGTCAGGGACTACTACGGGCAGACGTGCATTGCTAGTTATCCTCTCTCCTTCAAGATCTTGCCTTATAATGAGAATTTATTCTTTGATATCTAATCCCATCTAACTAGACACCTATCACTGCTAGCTGACAGACATCACAGCGTCTCTTCCCTTTGCATCCACTCAAAGATGATTGTCTCTTCAGCAGGTCTGCAAAGATGTGCTCCCGCCAGGACAAAGACCAGTGCCACCAGCAAGAACGGTCCTCATGCCACAGCAGTGAAGGCTGCCACGGGAGCAGCGGTGGGTCCGGGTGCCACAGGAGCAGCGGTGGGTCCGGGTGCCACGGGAGCAGCGGTGGGTCCGGGTGCCACGGGAGCAGAGAACCCAGATGCCACGGCAGCAGAGGCGGATCCTACCATGGAAAGCCACAGGATTGCCAGCAGCAAATTTATCAAGTATCCTCAAAGATGAAGTGATCAGGACATCGTCTGCACGTTACACACCCGCATATCCACCATCTCGTGCCGAGTTCAGCAAGATTTGCATGTCTCCGAGCAATCCTCAAAGAAAATCCCTCCTCTCCCTCCCCTGGCAAGTCCTGTACCTCTGGTGAGCTGCTCTGTGGGCGCTAAAATAAACTGTGTACGTTCACGCTGGCTCGCTTTTCTCTGTGTCAGTCTACACAAGCCGTTACAAGTCAGAGTTCGTGAGAGCTTTGTGCTCGTGATTTTTCTTTCACCTTGTGTTTCATATCGCGCAGTACAAGACACCCTGTGCTTGTTTGATAACCCTGCCCAGACACAGGCAATGGTTGTGGGCAGTGCCACACTCTCCCCTATGGAATCCAAAGGAAAAGAGAGAGAATAAATTTACTTTTTTTTTTTTTTTAATGCTGACATTTTAGGAGGGCATCTCAGGCCTCTGCAGTGCAGGCAGCTCTCCTCCACACCACCTCCCTACAGAGCTGGAGACCCAAAACCCCCCCGCCAAGACCCTGTGGGCTGCCTTGCACAAACCCTCAGGCCTAGAGGCACAACCATGGGGCAAAAAGAGACATGTGATGGGACGGAAACCCTTTTTTTTTTTTGCCCTCTGGCCCCAAGGCACCATCCTTGAGACAGTATCTCCACACGCTTGCAGCAAACCCCCAGCAAGCCTTTCTAGAAACCCTCTGCCCAACACTTCAAGAGCCCTGAGTCAAGCCAGGGGCATTGCAAGACGCAAACGTTACCCAATGAGCTGATAAATTTCTTCTGGGCTTGTAATTAAAATGAACTGTGTAATTTATCGGTCCGGTGTTAGCCATTCATGAAATCAACGTTGCCCCGATAAGATTATTCTTGAGTGTGTCACGACGATCAGGAATATCTGGCACTGTTGAAAAGGGTGCAGGCAGCAGCTAACTCCCTGAACAGGCTGCCTGCTTTCATCGTTTGAAAAGGTTGGTCGAGCCC